CCCGGCTGACAGATCCCGCAAGCCCAAACTGACAGCCCCTCAAATCTGCCGAGGAAGCCCAGCATTAATTAAGTCATTGCTGGACTGTAATTTCCTTGAGAAGTAAAAAACTCTCACACAAGAAAAGGTTACAGAGACCTTTTCTGTGTCAAAATTACCATGCCGCATGAATATTAACGCTCTTAATGAAGACAACCTTTTTTCATCAAGAAGGTTCTGGAGCAGGTGCCAGGCCTGAAGTCTCACTCCCTGGGCTTCACAGTCTCGGGAAGTCGGCACGATGCGATTTCCCCGTTAAAGCCAGCATCCTGCTCGGGTCAGACCCCTTCCCTGCCTGTCTGGGCCCCCCCCCGTGTGCCACCTCTCCGTTTGGAGGATGGGGACCTGCTTGGAACTCCAGGGGTGGCTCGGCGGAGGCGGCACCGCAGACCCCCACGCGGGCCCCTGCCTGCAACAGTGCGTGACCCCAGGAACCCAGGTGGGGGCGACTGCCCTCCCCCACCCCACCGCTCCCACATGGGGGTCCTGCAGGAGGAGCCGGGGGGCCATCACCAGCCCTGGCGCACCTCGGCCTGGCCGCCGCCTCCTGGTTCCGGGGAGGAGCAGGGCCTGGCGGGACAGGGAAAGAGTCACTGTCGGCATTTCTCTGGGGGCTGCGGTTCTCCTGCCCCTCGTCCAAGTCCTTTGCATTTGGGGAGATTCTGAGGGGCCCCTGGAGCTTATCAGGGGAGCATTACAGCACCTCTAATAAGAAAGACCCCAGATGTAAAGGTTAGTCAATAATAATTCAGTGAAACATGCTGACTCCCTGTGTTGGACTTGTCTTCCCATTTCTGTGCCTTCATTTCATGAAAATGCTAAAAACAGAAACACGGTGCTGGTGAGTAGAGAGATCCTCTCTGAGCCACAGGATGAGAAGAGAGGATTTAGTGCAGCAAACTTAGGCACTAACCGGTTGCTTGGAAATTGTTCTGCCTATAACCTGCCAGTATGATGGTTACAGCTGCCGGATCTGTCGTGGGAGCCTCCAACCATCACCTAGAAACATCTCCAGGCTCAGATGCCAAGCCATAGCAGGGTGGGTGACATGCGGGCCAGCGAGGCAGCAGCCCCCTAGGGCCCTATCTCCCCAGAAGCCACAGGACAGGTAATCTCTGCAACTGTGTCTCTCTTCATTTTTTACCACTTAGTCATTCGTGACGTAACAAAGGCTGTGGCTAACCAGTAATAATCAGTCTGGCAGTTTCAGTTGAGCCATGTAACACACCATGTATATTTAAAAGGGAAGCCATGATACATAGTCATGGGTGCTGATGTAATAGCTATTAGATTTACAATATGTCAAAGGAGCATAATTTCATTATAAAGAGCAATAGCTTATAATCTTGTTATTGTTCATTACTGACATCAGTACAGGCCCATAAGAATCAGGTTGCAACTAGAAGGAAGGTCCTCGGTTTTGCCAGAATGGCTTCTCTTCTGCACCAACATCAGTTTGAGACCAGATTCACCAGGGCCAGGCACATCAGTCGGGACCAGAAGCTGACACGCCGCCTCTGTGCTGATGCCTTATTACTGGGAAAGCCCAGTGGAGCACGTCTCCAGCCAGAACAGGACACCTGCCATCGTACACGGAGACTAAGCTTGAAAGGCATTCTGTGGGATGGCCCTGGGGAGTCCGAGCATCTGCTTTCCTGGCGACATCAGGTACCGGAGGCTTGGGGGCAGGGGTAAAAGTGTACCCCATCTCTCCCGCTGGTCTACAGGATGCTATTTTTTCACCGAACTCCCCTGAAGATGTCCTCCTTTCCCCTGGGAAAAAGGTGATCTAGAAGTGTGGCCCTCATGTCAGAGCACGTGGATCATGTCTGTGAACTGCTCCATTTCCACGAGAGCCCCAAAGAGACCGTGTTAGTCGCTGAACTCAACAGCTGGAGTCGCCATATTTTGGTGCCCATTTATATGCATAATACAACCCCCGCCAAATGAACGGTCTGAACGTAACACAAAACGTTCAATACTTTCTGCTGTTCAATCGTCATAGCAATCGCCAGGGCCTTTATTCATACTTGTGAAAACCAGAAGCCCTATATTCCAATCTACTGAGTTTGGTTTCTGTCCTCATTATTAACTTTCCACTGGGAAATAAATAGGTGACAGTAACCAAACACAGCCCCCCAAAGAGCAGGTCTCAGCAAATGTTGGTTGGATTAGAAGGAAATGAATTAGTTCTCTTTATACGAAAAGAATGAATTGGTGGCTTGAGAAATAACAGAGAGATTGGCATGGGGTGGGCACCCCTGAGGACGTGGCGTCTGTGGGGAGGAACCTACCCACCCTGCAATTGCACCCAGCTCACCAGAGCAGAAAACGGAGCTCTCATCACTAGGCACACAGAGGCTTGGACTTCAGAGGCCTGGTCTCCCTGGACAGTGGCCACCGGGAGCTCCTCAAGGAAGCTTCCTCTTTGCTGGTGTTTCCCCACCCAGCAAGGGCGCTGGCTCCCCGAGCCCCTGAGCGGGTACGAGCGAGCCTGGGCGGTGCGCTCACAGCCCCACACAGGGATCTGACACTCTGATTCTCAATGTGTTGACTGGAGCTATCCAAGTTTCATAATCATGAACTCCACCCAAACCGCATGCTATAAAATGGCATTTTTAATATCGCAGACCTGGTGACATTTACACACCACTTGAACTTTACTTCAGTGGTTTATATATTACCATCCAGGATCCTTCAGAAGTGTGGCTTCAGAGTAGTTTATTCTCGTCTTAGAATTATTTCTGGACTTTGATTCTGTCACATTTCGCTGCCGGCAGCACATCTACAACAGCTACCATGGAGTATTCTATTTCAAGGTAATGCTTGGCATGTTGTGATTTTCAAAAAAGATAAAAACCGTGAAACAAAGTTTCTATACACCTAATAGAGGTAAAAAAAAAAATAGATATTTCCCACTTGCTTGGGTCAATAGATAAGATCCAGAGAATTATTCCAACGATACGGTGTGGAGGGGCTTCCTTCCAGCCCCGTCCCAGGCTCCGAGCTGAGGAGGGCAGCGTCTGCAGCAATGGTGCAAGGGTGGGGTCCCACTTCCAGCTGCTCCCATGAGGCTGCTGGGGACCCTCCTGTTTTGCGTGGCCTCCCAGCCACATTTATGAAGAACAGGATGGGTTTAGGCTGGAGCCTCACACCAGCCTCATTCCACCCCGACACAGACTGCGTGCAAAGCTGGTGTCTCTGCTCCCACCGGCGCCACAGCCCGCCGTCTGCCCTGCCTCCATAGCAACAGGCACGGCAAAACAGAGTCCCTGAGAAACACAGTCTGTGATCTCCGAGGGGCGACACACTGTGTGGACATCCACACCTGGGCATATGCAGCACCCAGCACGAGACAGACACACAGACAAACACCTGTGCTTCACTCATAGCAAAACGCGAAGCTGCCGGTCCTCCCTGCGTGCAAGCCTGAAAGAAACAGCCATCTCCAAGCTGTGTGCGGCGTGTGACCCGCTCAGGGCCCGCAGGGGAGTATCTGCCGAGGGGGGCGCTATCATTTCACCTCGCCAATGCCCGCCTAAGGTCAGCGGTCAAGGAAGCCAGAGCCCACTCTGCTTTTCTAGCTGCGGTGCGAGGCTGCCTGAGGACAGACCTGCCTCCTGGCGCGAGGTTCCTCCTGGGCGAGGCAGCTTGGTGCTGCCCACTTACCGGCGTGGAAGAGAAATTCCCAGGCCAGAAAGAAACTCGCGTCTTCCCAACATGCAAGCACAGGTCTTTGGGAAGTCAGCCGGCTTACCGCTCCCCTTGCCTGTGGGAGGAGGGCTGCCTGTTCACAGCCACCGCCCTGTCCCGCACGCGGGGCCTGGCCCCGGGACTGGCCAGCTCTGTGCGCTTTTGGTTATGAGGCACATGCCTGCCCACACGCCATGGGGTGAAATGCCCGTGCTCACGCTTACAGCCACCAGCATCCCCCACTCCCTGTCCTAGAAGGACGGTGGGGTGGGGCAGGCCCCACAGGGGCATCTGCTGCAGGCTGAGGGGGGTACCAGGCATGAGCTCGGCTCAGAAGCCCGTGTGTCCCCAGGGTGGCCACCACCGTCACTCAGTGTGGGTGGCCCATGGAGGGTACTCGGTGGTTCCACCTGCAGGCGCTGCCCTGGGCGGGACCTTGGCCTCCCTGTGCAGTTTGGCCCACTGGGGACAGTGATAAGTCTCAGCAGGCCCCAGGCGGCCCACCGGCTGCTTCACTTCCCACCTCTCCATCTATCAAAAAACGGTTACTTCACACCCAGCCCAGATAGCTTACTTTTGGGTCTGTGTGCTTCTAGTCTTTCAGTGTGCCTGCAGCCCGCGTCCAGGAGCCTGTCTCCTGGTGCCTCGGGGCCAGGAAGCAGGCGGAGAAACACCCATGGGTGGCCAGGCCAGGCCTGCAGGTGGGAGGGCGCAGGGGTAGCAGGGCCCGGGTCCGTGGGTGGAAGGGCAGATGGAGGCCTGAGCAGCTGGCCTCTCAGCTGCCCTACAAAGTTCGTGGGGATGACCAGTCTCTGGCCCTGAGTGGCTCTTGGGCTGCCCCTCTTGTCTGTGGATCTTCCGAGGGCTGTTTGGGCAACTTATGTGAGACTGGAAGCTTCTCTGACTAAATCAAATGCAGCTGTTTGAATATAATGGTGAGAAAGCAAAGCCTGAGAAAATGGAGGGCTCTCCACGCATGAGTATGGGTCCTGCAGGCGTCATGCTCACAGGCCGGGATATTGTCGCAACTCGTTTTGGAAAGTAACTGAGCGTGTCTGCTTATACCGGAAGGACGCATGCCTTCCTGTTTGTTTGCAAATAGTGAAGTTTCACATTTTCCTTATCAATGTTGCTTTGCTAATCAAAAAGCAGAAGAAATATTTTAAGTTCACTGTATGAAAAATTGAGTTTTCATTTGGGTTTCCACAACCACTTAGGTGGGACTCATTTTAAGAAAACTCAGTGTATGACAAACCGAACTTTAAGGCTGCAGTTAAACAAGGGTCCTTTATTCGATGCACTGTAGGCCCGCAGTGAAGGCCATTAACAACCCCTCCAAGGTGTCTGGAAGTCACTCGGTTCGGGATCACCGACCCCTTTCAGTGTTAAAATAGTAAAAGTTACTGGCTATGAAAGATCAATCGGATATGACAATAACCCTTCATTTAGATCTTCCACGAGGTCAATCAGAAAATACTTATTTTATCAAAACTCAGTTTATGCCCGTTATCAGCAGCAGCGGGTATACACTTCTCATTCCCCTCGAGTGCGTCGCAGAACGGCATCCGCTTGATCTTCACTATCAGCTATGCCCTGTGCTGTGAAACACTGTGACTAGTTTCTGGGTGATGTTTCCAAACAAGTCCCCTTATGCCCCATAGGGGAGGGCTCAGGCGGTGTGCTTTCCTCCCTGGGGCCCTCGTGCACCCACCTGTGCTTACTGGAGTCTATGGTAAGGCTGGTGTTTGGATGTGGGGGAGAGAGAAGTGAATAGGACGGGTTCCGGGTTCTGGTCCCCCAGGGAGACGGTATGTCAGTAACTGACAGTACAGTGCATGGCTCAGGCAGTGTTAATGCAGCCACGTTTTAGAAAAGGGTCATCTTTTTCTGTAAAGCACCAGATTAATTTTAGGTTTCTCAGGCCAGATGGTCTCTGTCACAACTGCTCAACAAAAGAGCTATAGAAAATTCATAAGCATCAAATTCAATGATGAGGCGCATAGAAAATTCATAAGCATCAAATTCAGTGATGAGGCGCTGAAAGACTTTCCTCTCGATCAGCAGCAAAACAAATAAGCCCGCCATCACTGCCTTTGTCCAGCCCACCCTGGAGGTCCTAGTCACAGCATTTGGGCAGGAAGAAGAACTAACAGGCATCCAATGGGAAAGGAAGGAGTAAAACATCTGTTTTCAGATGACATGAGCTGCTACATAGGAAACCTTAAGGGCTCCACAAAGAAGCTGTTCAGTAACATGCAGGATACAAAATGGACATGCAAAACTGAATGGCATTTCTATACTTTAACTATCTGAATGAAAAATCAAGGAAACAATCCCATTTACAGGAGTGGCAAACAGAATGAGATACTTAGGAATAAACTTCACCAGGCAGGTGGGTGACCTGGACACAGATCTGCCATTGTCATCCACAACGGGGGGCAAGGCCGGGGAGCGCCTGGCCGGCCGAGCGCATCGTTGCTCTGATGACTGATGCGCAGGGACTATTCCCTTGCCAGGACCGCAGCAGTACTGCTCAGCCTCTGAGCCAATGGACTGAGAGCACAGGACTCTTTGTTCAGTTGTGAACTCGATCTGCAAAGATCACTGGAAAAAGGTCACATCACGCCGGTGCCTTGGTGAGCAAAGAACGGAACCAGGTTCCATTTGGCATCTTCTCTTGATTATCCTACTTGTCTCGACCCATGTCAATTTTCTGTATTTCTGAGTGTCCACTTCCTTACCTGTAAATAGAAGAAGTTGTCTAGCTCAGTGGTTTCAAACATTCTTTCATGCCACAAGCCTGTTTCATATTCAAGTAAAATGCTGTTGGGTGTACAAAGCGTTTAGGGCTGCCGTAATGAAAACAGCGCGCTGGGTGGCCCGAGTGACAGAAACCTGCTCTCTCCCAGTTCTGAATCTGGAGGCCTGGGACTGAGGTGTTGGCAGGGCTGGGCCCCTCCAAGGCCCTGAGCGAGAACCAGGGTACATTTCTCCCTGGGCTCCTGGGCTTCGCCAGGAATTGTTTGCTCTGGCCTGTGGAAGCACCGCCGGACCTCAGCTTCCATCCTCATGAGGCCTTCCCCTGTGTGCGTGTCCTGTGTCCAGATCTCTCTTTTATAGGGACGTCAGTCATACTGGGTTGGAGCCACCCTCATGACCCACTCTTAATCCCATCCACAAAGACCCTGTTTCCACATGGGGTATCGTTCTGAGGCACTGAAGGCCAGGGCTTCAGCATGTGGATTTGGTGGACACAGCTCAGCATGCACCACTTGGAAGCACATTTACTTTAAAACCCAGCAGAAAAAGCTGCTCCCATTGCGGTGGAGTAGAATCCCAGGGACCTGGCCCCCTCTGCCCTGCCAGTCCCAGGTGACTATCTTAAGGCCCAAGTAGTGAAGGACATACGTTTCCCAAAAGGAGATCTGGCCTGGGACCTTGGGCCACCCTGGACAGTCTAACACTGAGCCTTGCAGTGGGCCTTGGGGCACAGGGTGTCCACTTGACCACCAGAGCAGTGGAGTCAAAAGGTCAACCACGTGGGCACCCCACCATTCTACAAGATCGAGCCCCACAGATCTGCAGACACGCGTGTCCCTGTGGGCGGCACTCCAGTGCCAGGGTGAGGCACGGCCCTCACTGCGCCAGGAGAGGGTGCTCCGGTCTCTGACGCTGCCCGGGCCCCCTTCCCTTGGGCTGACTGACCTGAGCAAGTTTGTGGGAACCCCAGACCTGCAGTTGGGGTCGAAAGGGAGGGTGGTCTCCTGTACGCTGCTCCCCAGCTTCATGAGACCAGATAATCTTTTCTTTAATGGAGAGTTTTCAGACCGACAAAGTAGACAGGACCGTACAATGAACCCGCACGCACCCATCACCGAGTCTCCAAAACGTCCCTGGCCAGTCCTGCTGCGTCCACCTTGCACCCACTCCTTGCCCACGCCCTGTATTAGTTACTTTGAAGCAGTCATCATTTTATTCTCTGACAGAGGCTCTCTCACTCGTGCATCCATTTTCACCCTCTGCCCCCGTCTCCGTGGCCGTCCGGGGCCATCCTGTCTTCTCTCTCCCTGTCCTCCTCCGCCTCCCCGTCGCTTCCCAGCTCAGCCACGCTGTCTCCCCTTTCCTCTCTTCTCCCAAGTTATGTGTGGCCAGAACATGGATAGGGAATATAAATTTTATTTCCCACAAAAATTCATTTGTACTTGGTTTCTAATTTTCAAAGCATGTGAGTTTGGAAAGAAAGAAATCTAAATCCAATGAACTTATCTCCCAGTTGCTTTTGTGGCATTTTTTTTTCTCCCCCCCCACCCCTGCCAGATTTATTGAGTTAAAATTTACAAATAAAATCATAAGGTATTTAAAGTATACAATGTGCTGCTCTGATACACATGCGCATGGTGGAAAGCTCGCCCACCGAGTCAGGGAGCTCGTCAGCCCCCAGTTACCTGGGGTGGGTGAGGTCACTTGGGTGCTGCCCGCTCAGCACGTTCCCGTCACACGGTACGGTGGCATCGGCCGTGGTGTCCGTGCTGCACGTGAGACCCCAGCGTATTCATCTTCTACATGAAAGTTTGTGCTCTTTTGCCAGCCTCTCCCCCCCTCCGCACCCCCAGACCCCGGCAACCACATTTCAGATCTTCCTATCTCTCTCTCCAACCCCTAGTGTCCCACTCTGTCCTTGTTCAATGGCGTCTGTCAAAAAAGAACAGTCCCTCTGCACCTGTCTTAAACCCGTGTGGGTTGGGGTCCTACTGAAAGGCGGGGTTTTGCTGGCAGAGACTCTCAGAGGGAACATGTCAAGAGAAGGTGAGCCCGGGCATAAGCACCTCCAGGGGCGGCTGCCAGTGTGTTAGGTCTGTTGGGGGAGAGACTTCACGTTGGCACTAGGTTCCTAGCCTTATAGGGGTTGGTAGGACTGCCAAATCTTTTGAAAAGTGGAACTGAATGAAAGCAACTTTAAAAGGAGAAGATCTACAAACAGGGTAAAGTTCAAGGGACAAGTCAACTAAAAAAAAAAAGCAAATTTTGCAAGTATTTATCAAGAAAGCACAACCATTTACCATGTATTGAGTGTTCAGGTTAGTGCTTTATACGCACTGCATTCGTGCACAGCCACCCGCTGTGATCAGTTCCCATGAACCAGAAATGATCAGAGTCTGGGTTCATCACGTGACCCGGACGTGGCCGACCCAAGCGCTGGTGTTGATTCCTCCCGCCGGGATCTGAGGGCTCTCAGCGCACGAGGGGACTTTGGCCTCCCCCACATTTCAAGGGGGAGGGGGAGAGTCACAGAAACAGGTCTGAAAACTACAGACTAAGGGGGTGCCCAATGAATGCATGTAGCCTGGAGAGGACATTGGCCCAGGGGACCCCAAAAGAAAGAAGATTAAAACTGTAGGCACGCTGTTTTGCAGCCTGCCATGTATTATGCAAGGGCTCTTCTGACCCCTTCCCCACAGCCATGGGGCCGGCTGCTCTCCGAGGTCCCCTCCTGGCCGACAGGGTGCATACAGCCAGGTTGCCAGCTCTGGTCTGGGTGGGGCATGCAGCCCGCCCCCCACGTCCCAGATGCAAGCTGGAGTGGCTGTGACTAGGAAGGGCCACCTGGGAGCAGACAGGCTGGTGTGATGTGTGCCTGGAGGCCTTCCACCTGCCCTGTCTCAGCGGCAGTTCCCCAGCAGGGTGGCTTGCTTCCTGACCTGGGCTCCCGAGTGGTTGATGTTATGTGTGGCAAAGAGGTGGCCGTAAAAAGTCTACTCTGCTTTGGTCATTCAAGCTGGCCGCTGGGGAATCACGAAGGGGTCCCGGAGGCCCTGCTGCGAGCCAGCACTGAGTGTAACTCACGGCACTGGTGTGGCGGGGAGGCCAGGCCACCCCCTGCCTCCCTGCTCCTGGGGCAGGCCTGCTGGATCCCCTGCCCTGGCCTGCACCAGCCTCTGGGGACTCAGTACCCCTGCCTGGTTGCCACCCCACACCCACACCACCCCATCAGAGGCACAGCAGGGCTGGCAAGTAGGTGCTCCCCACAGGGCCCTCGGCCCAGACATGGGCAGTGCCTGTCTCAGCTGGCAGAAGCCACGAACCAGAGCCAAGTCTGGGGTTGAAGATGGGCAGGAAGGTCCCAGGTCGGGCACCAGCTCTCAGCCTCACCTGCATAGATGCAGCATTGCACTTCAGGGATGAAGATGGCAGTTCAGCAGTGGCCCTCCCAGAGCAGGGCACAGGGCCTGTCCCACAGCCCGGGCCAGCCCACATCCCAGAGCTGGGTGAGGGCGTGAACCTTGCATCAAACCAAGAGGCTGAGGCCCGAGTCAAGCCAGAGATGCTGCCCAGAGCGCCTCATCCTTCTCCCGCTGGTGGGGACATGCTTTGTTTTTTCCTGAGACGTCAGAGATAAAACCAAACTGAGTAGTCATGGTCTGCTCCCTCCCACTGCTGGGTCTCTGTGGAGGAGGAGACAGTGTTTGCAAAATAGGAGTACATGTGGAGAGTGGGTGTATTGTTTTTTGTTGGCTTATTAAAGTTGATATCTAAGATGCCACATGAAGGAAGAAGGATGCAGTTAGGAAATGATGACCATTTTAGATTCTGCAGTGTCCACTTTGTCCTCATCAGTGACTGTGCCACCAATGACGTGGACCTTTTGGGGGGCTGAAATGGGCAGATGCCCTGACATTATTTTCCAAGAAATGCCAGTTTGGAGATTGGAGGGCAGAATAGGCTTCTGCTGGCAAGAGGGCATCTATGTTTGCAAATCCAGAGCGTGTCCGGGCATCTCCCTCCTGCACTGTCGCAACTAATGCTGCCAAGTCCAGAGCCCAGGGCTCCTTCCCCAGTCCTGACGGCAGGTCGGGGAAGACGGCCCTGCGCGCAGCAGGATGGCCAGTCTGAGCAAGGGGGAGACAGCAGCCTTGCGGTGCTGAGAGCAGCCCGCAGTCCACAGGGCCTGGGAGCCCCTCCTGTGGATCGTGCATGGGCTGTGTATGAGAGTAGACCGTGTGTGAGTGTGTGGCTTTGTGAGTGTGAATTGCACATCTGTGGGGATTGTGTGTGTTGTTTTGGGGAGTGTGAATCGGCTAGGTGTGAATTATGTGCGAGTGGTTGTGAGAGTGTGAATTGCATAAGGCATGGGTTACACATGTGGCTTTCTGAGAGTGGATTGTGTGTGGATGACTTACCCCTGGATGAGGTTGGGATGGACTTGCTTCCAGCATGTGGTCCTTTGGCATATTTACAGTAAGAGGGGCTGTAACAGGCGGCCCTCCATTGTCCGTGAGATTCTTTCCTATCGCAGGCACCCGGTGACACACGTACTGGACCCTGCCCTGCAGGGCATGGCTGGATTGTGTCTGGTGGCCCTGCCTACAGATGCGTTGACCTCAGGTACTGGCTCCCCTGACCCGGGGGGCCTGGACCCCAGCTCCCCCTGCCAGTGCTGCAGAGCCCTGGGCTGGCCTGCACAGGACATTCAGCCATGGGGCCTGGGGACAGAAGGGGCCCCTGGGGCCTCAGGCCCCCTGCCAGCCCTCTGCCCCGGCAGGGAGCCAGCGTGCCGCAGGAGCTGAGCACATCTGCGTCACCCCAGGCCTGCTGGCTGTGGGCGGCTCCCCCCGCAGGTGCTGTGGCCCCACAGAGAGTGGGGCCCCAGCCAGGGAACAGCTTGCTCTTGACTGACAGGGCTGCTCCGCTGTACACAGCAGCCAGTCTGGGACTTTGGAAAGGGGGCAGTCCCATCCCCCAGCGCGTCTTCCCTTCCTGCTCAGAATGTGCGATCCTTACCCAGAATAACACTCGCTTCCTTGACAGCAAATGGAAGGACTTTCAGGTGAATAGCGAGCCACGTACAACCAGGAGCTTATGACACATGGAGGTCAAACATCACAGGTCCCTTGACCCCGGGAGGGGAGTTCTGCAGGCCTGAGATCCGAGGCTTCCACCTGCACCAGAAGGACTCCGAGGAGAACTGCGGTGTCCAGGCCCCGGGCCCAGTGGGTTGGAGAGACGGAGTCCTGGGCTCCTCTCGGAGCGCCCATGGCCCTCAGGGTCAGCACAGGATGTCGCTGCCAGCTTGGAACTATAAAGAGACGCTTGTGTCCACATGTGGCCATCATGCCAGAATTCTATTCAGACTCCACCGTCTGGGGAAACCGCTGTGGTGGGACCGTGGAACAGAACAGGAGAGCGCGTCTGTGTAACGTCATAGGCCTGCGATGGCCTTTGTGCCTGGAAATGTGTTTCAGACAAATAGAGGCGCCCCAGGCCCTGGAGGTGAGTGCTGGCTGTCCAGGAGGAGACGGGAGCCTGCTGCCCGTGACCTCTGCACCACGTGACTCTGTGGCAGCAGGTGCCGCAGGCGAGGCCGGGCCCAAGGTCACTGCCTGGGTAGCCATGTCACTGTTATGACCCCATAGAAAACAGATGAGCAAGAAAAAAGGATCAATTTCCCCTTTGATAGGACTACTGCATTTGCACAAAAGTGCAGTTTTATGGCCAAAGCAAATAAATGACGTGTTCAGGTTAATTATTTAGCCCTTTAATGAGAACATTTCCAGGGGCCCCAGCTTCAGGGCTTTTCCTGTGGAGACACGAAGCCCGGCTCTCAGGAGCCAAGGACTAGTGTGTCCACTGACGTGAGACGGGAGCGGACGGACAAGAGCCGCGGGGTGTCCACCTTCTCTGGAGGCCTGGGGCCACGTTCCTTCTCAGTTAGACTCGTCCAGGCCCGGCTCTCCCAGGGGGCCAGAGGCCTCCACCAGCTTGAGCGGGGGCTTCAGCATGAGTTTGAGGGGACACAGTGGGGGCAATAAGAGGGCAGGAGGGAGGACCCAGACATGGAATTGCATACGTAAGTGCTGGGACCCACTGTGTGGCCTAGGGAGGGCTCACGTGGCTGAAGGGAGGGGCTGCTGCTCTGGCACCCCCACATCTTATGTGGGCTCAGTGTGCTGGAGGACACGCTCACAGTTCCACACTGCCCGTGTGTGAGGAAGGAAGAGGCCCAGGAGGCCTTGCTGTGCTCCTGGTGGTGTGCTCCATGCACGTCCACATGTGTGCATGCACACACATGTTTATATGCATGTGCCCTGTGCATGTCTGCATGTGTATATATATCTGCATACCTGTTTATGTCCATGTGCTCCATGCATATCTGCATGTACACATACACCTTTATGTGTACACATTAATGTGCATGTGCTCTACACATGTCTATATTGCATATATATGTGTGTGTGAGTATGTGTGCTCTGTGCATGTCTGCATGTGTACATGCATATGTTATGTGTGTGTTTGTGCCTACAAACATGCACTGGGAGACTTGGCCTCCTTTTTCTTGAGAACGAGAGATCACTTTGATCGGTGTGCTGCTCTTGGTGTGGACTGAGAGGCTGCCCTGCATGTCTTGTTCATGCCCACCCAGCTCTTCCCCTCCTGGGCTGGGGGAGGCCTGCTCCTGCTCAGAGGCTCCTCCTCCTGCTTCCCTGAGCACCTGTCCCAGGCCCCAAGCGGACCACTCACGTGTGCGCCTCATTTGCTTTCGCCCACGTGTCCCCTGGGTCACAGCGGGTCCCTGCTTGGCCTCAGGTGAGAACCAGCTTGAGCGGGGGCTTCAGCATGAGTTTGAGGGGACACAGTGGGGGCAATAAGAGGGCAGGAGGGAGGACCCAGACATGGAATTGCATACGTAAGTGCTGGGACCCACTGTGTGGCCTAGGGAGGGCTCACGTGGCTGAAGGGAGGGGCTGCTGCTCTGGCACCCCCACATCTTATGTGGGCTCAGTGTGCTGGAGGACACGCTCACAGTTCCACACTGCCCGTGTGTGAGGAAGGAAGAGGCCCAGGAGGCCTTGCTGTGCTCCTGGTGGTGTGCTCCATGCACGTCCACATGTGTGCATGCACACACATGTTTATATGCATGTGCCCTGTGCATGTCTGCATGTGTATATATATCTGCATACCTGTTTATGTCCATGTGCTCCATGCATATCTGCATGTACACATACACCTTTATGTGTACACATTAATGTGCATGTGCTCTACACATGTCTATATTGCATATATATGTGTGTGTGAGTATGTGTGCTCTGTGCATGTCTGCATGTGTACATGCATATGTTATGTGTGTGTTTGTGCCTACAAACATGCACTGGGAGACTTGGCCTCCTTTTTCTTGAGAACGAGAGATCACTTTGATCGGTGTGCTGCTCTTGGTGTGGACTGAGAGGCTGCCCTGCATGTCTTGTTCATGCCCACCCAGCTCTTCCCCTCCTGGGCTGGGGGAGGCCTGCTCCTGCTCAGAGGCTCCTCCTCCTGCTTCCCTGAGCACCTGTCCCAGGCCCCAAGCGGACCACTCACGTGTGCGCCTCATTTGCTTTCGCCCACGTGTCCCCTGGGTCACAGCGGGTCCCTGCTTGGCCTCAGGTGAGATCTGCTTTCCTCTGCCATCATGCAGCTAACCTGCAGCCAGTGAGAAGAATGAGAAAAGCTGCTGAAACAGGGAGATGATGGATATCTAATCATTATGTTTTTGTTGTATTTTTGAATGAGCATGAAAATTCATCTCTGGGAAATGTTGAACAGCAAATGAACAAAGCCCCGTAACAGCCCCAATCCTCCTCCGGAGTCTGCGCGCCAGAGGGCGCTGCGCTGCGGTCCGCCCGGGAGCAGCACCGCTGCACACACATTTAGGTCTCATTTTTTAAAAAAGGCAAAAATGCCTTATTGTAGGTTTCTGCTTTCCTCGAGAAGAAAACACACGATACTGTTTTAAGCTGCAGCAGTGAAAAAAAAAACATGTGAAATATGTGATGTGGTGTTTTTACCAACTGTCTAAATAAAGGTTTAGTGAGTCACTGTGGAGAACAGAAAATCTTTCTTTATTTTAAGAGCTGCAGTTTAAGAGAGTTTTTTTTTTTTTTTAATGCAAAAGCTTCCCTTAGGTTTGTAACTTAAACATTGCCCATATGCTAGATCCTCCCTGGCCTGAATTCACAGCAAAACTGAGATTTCATTTTTTTTAAAGTGCTCTTTAAAAGTGTGCTGGTTTGCCCGGCATCCCCTCCGCGGCTGGAGAGACGTGTGCTCTCATCTGGCCCCAGAGGGGGCTTTGTGTCCTTCCTGAATGTTTGGAGGAGCGCCACCATCCCAGAGCAGAGCGGAGGAGGCTGCACCCTAACTGGGTCCTGAACCTGTTTCCCAGAGTTACAGAGGAGGAACCAGCAGCCGTGTCACTCCTGAGCCTGCAGCCTGGTGGCCTGGCGTCCACCGACTGGGTCTGGAGAGAAATGGCAGCCCCCAGCTCGCCCGGAGAGAGCTGCTCATCACCACCACCCCGAAAATGCTTCCGGCCAGAGACAGGTCCTCATCTGTTTCTTTATTTTCAAAGATAATCCTCCACTTTCCTTTCTCATCCAGAATTTTGCTCCAAAGGTTTCAGTAGAAATGTCATTGGCATATTAGGCTGATTTTTTTTTAATGAGGTAGAAACAATTGTCCTGACTTCCAAAATTAGGTCCAGGGATGAGCTTTAAAGGCCCACATAGGTTTTAAAGCTCCCAACTTACCTCTCTGTCTCAGGGCCCATTATTAATGAACGCCTTCACTTGCGTAAACACAACCACACAAGTGTTCCCAACCACATCTATAAAACTATTTAATGCACTTTTTGAAACAAGCATCTTATAGTCACAGTAATTGCAGTTTTACTAGACCTTTAAATGAGAAGCAGCCACTTATGAAGTTTTGATATGGTGAGCTGATTAGACAAGTTAAACATAAAGGCACGATTTATGGGGCTCTATCCCCACATGCGTGCCAGTGCGCGCTGCTTGGCGCAGCCGAGACAGGAAATCCTGCTAGGTGCACGGCTTTATGCCACTTACAGGTTGCAAGTAGTAAAGAGAAAAATGCTGGATTTTACAGGAAAATAATATTCATAAATCTCCCACAGTGAATTACAGTATAACTCAGAGCTGTCTTTGTTTTTCTGCTGCAACGAATTCAATTCTGTTTCCAGTGCAGAAATGATAAACACAGAATCCAAAGTGGAAACGCCTTGCCCTTCCCAAGTGTTTATGGCCGATTTACAGCTGGACCCCTGGAACAGCTTCTGCAATAATACGGCACCGCGCCGGGCCTGGGTGTTTTATTTTACCTCCTGAGAGTACAATTGCTGAAGGCCATGAACTTGTAGGGCGTCCCTCTCTGCCTTGTGCCCATGTCCCCATCGTGGGCACCTTTGCCCTTGGGACACAGGTGGCACCACCTCGGGCTCGCTCCAGGGAAAGAGCCCCAAAGAAGCCTGCCCTTTGCTGGGCTGGCCACAGGGCGCGTGGCTGGTCTGATCTCAGAGAGCACAGATTCTTCTCCACTGCGGCACCCGCCACGGGGCCTCTGGGGGTGGCACGGTGCTAGGCCTGGGTCTCCCGGGCTGGGGGGCACTGTGGACCCGCTAGGTAAGCCTCCTCAGGTACCCCTAACCCCAGAAGTGTATTTCCTTCTGGATGTCCTGAGATGTGCTGGAGAGATTTCTCCATCACCCCTAAGTCCTCAGCCAGCTGCTCACAGCCTGAAACATCCTGTGTTTGTGTGGCCAGCACACGATGTGATGTCCGATCTGTTTATTCCAGAGTCTCATTCTCTCTCCTGACGCCTCTACTTGGAGACGCCCTGGGCAGCTCGCCCTCAGCCGTCCAGCACCTCGTCTCAGGCCCTCCACAGAGCTCTGCAGCCAGTTTGCAGACCAGCTCCCATCAGGGCTGATGGGCCCGGTCATTCCTGTTCCCCTCAGTGTGGGCTCCAGACCCAGGCTAACCACTGCCCGGAACTCTGCCTGCAAGAGCCCCGGGAAGAAGGGACTCTGCCGCTAGAACCCCTCGTCGGTGTGGGGCTGTGCTTGTGGTTCTCTGGAGCCTCCACAGTGGGTGTGCGGAGCATGGGGCATGAAGGGAGGGCCGTGTCCCCAGGCCAGGGCTGGGGGTGCAGACCAGAGGCCAGGTCTCCTTCGAAGACATGCGGGTAAGAACAACGATAATCACCTGAAGGGAACAGTCACTGGCCACAAGCCCGTCTGCCCAGATGGCAGAGAACGCCTAGTGCTCAGGGGGTGCAAGGGCCACGCTTTGGGGCAGGGGCTGGCTGCACACGGGGTGGTGGGGGCGGCCACCCGCTCTAGTGCAGGTCAGAGGACAGACTGTGCAGGCAGAGGAGTTTCATTTGGCTTTAGAGTGACACACGCTTCTGGAACGTGGGCCCATCCCGAGAAGGCTGCAGTGTTGCGGTGTTTGGGGCAGGTGGGCAGAAACAGGCTTTGCTGCACCCCCTCTGCCTGGGGCAGGGTTTGGGGTGGTTCCCAGGATGCGCTCAGGCTGAGCAATGGAGCTGTGGCTTGAGGCCAGGGGAGGAGGGCCTGGTGCAGAGGGCAGCCATGCGGGGTCCTGTCTGGGCCACATCCCCATGGTGTGTCTGCCAGGTGGGCCTCCTCCACAGCCGGCGGGTGCCACGCAAGGCTGCCGAGTGCCGCCAGGGCGGGGTGTGCGGAGCCCCTGAGCAGCATGTCCGTGGGGGTGGGTGTCAGCATGTACATGCACATGTGAGTGTGCACATTTGTGTGTGTGTGTGTGTGTGCGTGTGGTGCAGGTGCAGTTTGTGCGGTGGGGTGAGGTTCACATGGACACGCTCACTCAGCACACCGTGTTTCACAGCCACGAGCTCTCTGTCTTTAGTGAACAAAGTCGGAACAAGGCCAGGCCTTAGGGCGCCGTGCCCTCCTCATCAGGCAGTGTTTCCTTCCTCCTGGGCTGGGGGCCGCTGACACAGAAGCCCTGCGTCCCATCCCTGGTCTGGAAAAAGCAGTTAAAAGGCACGATCTAGAGTGTCGTTGTTCCTCAATCTACCTTTTCCTGCAAACCATCTTTTATTCATGCATTTTTCTAGTTACTGCAGTGTGTGCTTGACTGTCAGCCAGAGCCCACACACGGCACGCTGGCCGTGTGTCCATCCAGACAGGACCTGAAGCCCAAAGCCGCCCCCCCCCACCAGCAGCTCCAGGGACACTGGGGAACTACTGGCTCCCCACGTGGGCCGCCAGCCTCATCTAGGACAGGGTCCCCGGAGCCCCACATTAACATGTCCCTGGGGCTCCAGGCTGCCGGCCCACCCTGAGGGTGTCCCACCTGCCAGCCTCCACAGCCACGTGGACCAAGTCCTTAAGAGCGTGCTGCTTGCTGTCTCTGTCTCTGTCTCTGTCTCTGTCTCTGTCTCTTTGGAGAACCTGAATTAATGTAGCCTCCAAAGCCAGAAACTTCTGTTTGCTTGGTTGGCAATTGTGTAACTCAGAAGGGACCCAACAGATTTGCTTGGCATTTGGAGGAAACTGAATTCAAAACCTTACCTTGCAAGTTTTCCCTCTGGTTTGGACTGTTCTAGTTAGGTTGCTAAACCACTTAAAACCAATGACTACCCTAGAAATGACACACACTGGTGGCACACAGCTGAATTTAGATTGAAGAAATATTTTCTGATGGAAGTCAAGCTTGATAAAAGGAATGCACACTGCCGTGTGTGAAAGTATGGTATTAATAATTAAG